TGTCATTGTATGTGTCTGTCTGTGTCATTGTATGTGTCTGTCTGTGTCATGGTATGTGTCTCTGTGTCATGGTGTGTGTGTCTGTGTCATGGTGTGTGTGTCTGTGTCATGGTGTGTGTGTCTGTGTCATGGTGTGTGTCTGTGTCATAGTGTGTGTGTCTGTCATGGTGCGTGTCTGTCATTGTATGTGTGTGTGCCTGTGTGTGTTTTTAAAAATAGTGTTTTTACTCACCTTTTTTTTTTCCCCCCCACGTCGTCCTGGTCTCCCCTCGACTGGTCCTACCTCTATGGCTGAGATCATCAAGCTTGATGATCTCAGCCAATCCGGACTGACAGAGGAAGCACCTCTAGTGACCGTCTGAGTGTCTGTCACTAGGAAGCAATGTAAACACTGCCTTTTCTCTGAAAAGTCAGTGTTTATATTGATAAGCCTGCAGGGACAGGCTATAGACACCAGAACCACTACATTTAGCTGTGTGTGTGTGTGCGCCTGCTGGTGAGTGGGCTTGCTTGTGTGTGTGTGTGTGCCTGCTAGTGAGTGAGCTTGTGTTTTTATGTCAATGAGTTTATGTATATCAGTGAGATTGTTTGTCTATGAGGCTGTGTATCAATGAGCTTGTGTGTGTCAGTGAGATTGTCTGTGTCTGCATGTGAGTATGCTTACTGTATAATTAAAAATTTTACTATGAAAGGACCAATATTTTATATTAGAAAAAGCTATATATATATATATATATATATATATATATATATATATAAACTCAATCATCTGGGATGGCAAGACATAGGATTACATGTGACAATATATGGCGCAATGAGTTTTGGGGCTGGCATAGATTTTTTTTTTTTTTCCAGGGCTGCTTTGTTTCCCCAGTCCTGCCCTGGATGCATGCATTGTTTCATTTGAGTATATCTAGTAAACAGTGATTTTAAAAAATGTATTTGGGTAGTGGAGTGCCCCTGCTCATATCTGACTGTTAGAGTGTGAGGGGTAGACTTCCCTTATTTCCCAAGGAGCTCTGAAGTCTACCATTCTGCCAGGTACTGACACAATACAGACTGTTATATAGTTATAATTAATTAATTACATTATATATCATTGGGGTCAGTAATTTTTGTGCATTTTATATGGAGGGGTAATGATTAAACACAAGTTTTTTAAGTTATTTTAATCTGTGACTTGCCCCCAAATCCTTGAGGTAATATATAGGTATTGTATAATAAACACTAACACTATTTTCACACCCCTGTATTGAAACACTAAAAAAACCCTGCATCCAAGTGCCAACACTAAACACAAACATAGCCCTGCATTTGAACTTTAATTTATAAAAATGCAAAAACTTTCACACACACTCCATACAAAAACACATAAGTACAACCCTGCAAAGATGGGAAAATTATACAGCTAGCAAAGAATCATGGGGGTTTTACAGCCGGTGAGGGTTTATGTGTTGGACACTCATGCTATATAGGGGTGTTCCACAAAATATATTGTCCCTATGCCCTTGTGACATAGGGCATAGGGACAATATATTATGTGGAACACCCCTATATAGCATGAGTGTCTAACAGATAAACCCTCAACTGCTGTAAAAAAAACCAACAGAGGTGTAATTTGTTGGTGGGGTTTTTTTGGCAAGTTTTAGACAAGATTGTGTGACATTACTTACCATTAATTGTTTAAAGAGACACTGTATGCACTAAAACCAGTACAGATCATAAGTGATGTCCAAAAAAGTTGAAGACAGCCTCCAAAGACTCATCTCACCATAACTACTTTAGTGCACTGTATTGATTATAATATAGAGAATGCACTTTTAAATATGGTCTTTTTTAATTAAGTGTAGTATTATTATTATTATTATTATTATTATGTGTTAAGTATATTAAGTGTTTTATCTGTTACAAGTGTATACTTTATTTGATGTGCAGCAGCTCTCTTTGCAAATTTATATGTTTAGCATTTTTCAGACTAGATTTTCTGCTACTGTTTTGTATCCTGTTGTGTTTGACAATCAGATTTTGTTTGTTATTCCATGCACTCCCTTATCCTCATTACCAAGCATTACGAATGCATGAAAGTGGACACAGAAAATCACTGGCAATTTGACCTTACCTCTGTTTTTATTAACTTAATATATGAAGAGATAATTATCATATACACAGAGTACATAAATGTGATTTCAGAACAAAATATAAATAAATCGAAGAGTAGGTGTTAACGAGGCATACCCTTGTACAAAATACATAACGTTAAAACACAGAAAAGAATATAGAAAACCATATACAGAAAATACTGCAACTGTTACCTTCTATAGTTAGTTGTAGTACGGTACGAGTCACTGAAGTAGGTTAGAAAATACTCCCTCTTAAAGAGGTACTCAAATATTTGGCCTCTAGCTGTTCACAAATTATTATCATTTGTTAGCAAACTGTTTGTCAGTCAAGTCCACAGGAAGTAGCTGGAAAATGCTTTTGCACGCTGCAGACTGCCAACCATTGGACTCTTCCTGATTTTGTATGTCCGTGTTCTGATATGCATCTTACTGACTGCATGGTTAAAAAAAAAATTGTCTTTTGTCAAATTTAGTTTAGACTTTAAAAGTAGTAGGAGTGGCCTATAAAGTGATAACTAGACTTTTATTGAATAAATATTAGCAAAAACATAACATTTATTTGAAGCAAGTGATACGTAGCTAGCATATAAACATGCAATAAAAGCTCATTTGTGTACAGATTGCTTTTTAGAAAAAACCTCTTAACCTCTTAAAGACAAAGACTTTTTTGAGCTGCAACATGTTTGTGACCAAGGTATTTTTTTTACACACTGTAACGAACGTCATGTACTTCATATTGTACGTTAACTTGCAATCTCCTGAAATCACGCAAGGTTGTGGGAATTATGTCTTTGTCATTAGCATACCCAAACATCATTATTATGGCCAGATGTCCCACTTTTATACACAGACCCTCAGCATGGGGTCTCCAGCAGAAACATAAGTAAAACAAGTCTAGGTGTCTCTGTGTCTGGGAGATAAGTGAGTTTATTTTGCTTAAACTAATTATCTCTCTGGCACTAAAGGAATAAAACATAAAACATCCCAAAACATACACAATATTAATAGGGACCCCCCACAAGGCTTATGTGCCCGGATAGCCTGGATCTGAGAGTCCAAAGTGTCCCAATAGCACTCAGATCCCACGAATACAGCCGAACTACCACTTGGGTAAAGTTTTGATCGACTGCACATGTGGCGACTGCCCAAATTGTTTCCATAAGAAAAGTGGTAGCAGTCAGTTGCTTTTGGGAGTTCCTAACAAACAAAATATTGAATGATTCCCCTAGCTTGTAGGTAGGATTGTTTGCCTTGTTCGTGCATACCTTTCCACTGAACAGCACTCTCCTGGTTTGTCAGAAACAGAAGCAGGCGGGAGTACAATGTTACCGGTGTTTGCGAGTCAGTGTCAGTCTTGGAGTTGCAGACACTCAGCGACCAAGTACCGCTGCCTGCATTCGGGAGACAGGATGGTCACTGTTTTCTTGAGCACATGTCTTTTGGTTATATGAACTGCGGCCACCCAGAGAGAGCACTTAAGTTTGTGGTTACTTTGAAAATAATTAGCCAGGGGATGTTCTACGTTCAGTAGATAGAAATACCGAACCAAGGGGAGAATAACTTGGGCAAAGGAAAATAAGAGTTTCAGGGCAGTTTGTCACACACACCAAGTGCAAATGAAAACTAACTCAAAATAGTTGTCCTTGTTTTAAAACGCCAAAATTCTAGTTGTCCTGATTTTAAAATGCTCAATATTTCTAGCGTTTTTATGCATTTTTAGAAGTTATAAAACAAATACCACAAGGAGTGAATTACGGTTTCAAAGCTAAAAATGTGGCATGGTGAGATTACAAACTTAATTGTAGTCAAAAAATCCAAAACCACTACACAAAAGTATATACCGTATCTCACAAAAGTGAGTACACCCCTCACATTTTTCTAAATATTTTATTATATCTTTTCATGTGACAACACTGAAGAAATGACACAGTGTACAGCCTGTATAACCATGTAAATTTGCTGTCCCCTCAAAATAACTCAGCACACAGCCATTAATGTCTAAACTGTTGGCAACAAAAGTGAGTACACCCCTAAATGGAAATGTTCAAATTGGGCCCAATTAGTCCCCTCCCCGGTGTCATGTGACTCGTTAGCATTACAATGTCTCAGGTGTGAATGGGGAGCAGGTGTGTTAAATTTGTGGTTATCGCTCTCACACTCTCATACTGGTCACTAGAAGTTCAACATGGCACCTCATGGCAAAGAACTTTCTGAGGATCTGAAAAAAAGAATTGTTGCTCTACATAAAGATGCCCTAGGCTATAAGGTTGCCAAGACCCTGCAACTGAGCTGCAGAATGGTGGGCAAGACCATACAGCGGCTTCACAGGACAGGTTCCACTCAGAACAGGCCTCGCCATGATGAACCAAAGAAGTTGAGTGCACGTGCTCCGCGTCATATCCAGAGGTTGTCTTTGGAAATAGACATATGAGTGCTGTGCAGTATTCCAGCATGATAACGACCCCAAACACATCTCCAAGATGACCCCTGCCTTGCTAAAGAAGCTGAAGGTAAAGGTGATGGACTGGCCAAGCATGTTTCTAGACCTAAACCCTATTAAGCATCTGTGGGACATTCTCAAACGGAAGGTCTCTAACATCCACCAGCTCTGTGATGTCATCATGGAGGAGTGGAAGAGGACTCCAGTGGCAACCTGTGAAACTCTGGTGAACTCCATTCCCTTGAGGGTTAAGGCAGTGTTGGAAAATAATGGTGGCCACACAAAATATTGACACTTTGGGCCCAATTTCCACTTAGGGATGTAATCACTTTTGTTGCCAATGATTTAGTGATTAATGGCTGTGTGTTGTTATTTTAAGGGGACAGCAAACTTACACTGTTATACAGGCTGTCTACACTGAACAAACCTTACACTTACCCATGAGCTGTCCCGACAATAGGCTATCTCACAAAAGTGATACTGCTTCTTCCAAAGATATAGTCACTCTGCTATATAGTTACACCACTGCAACCACCTTCAAAGATGGAACATGCACAGAAGACTCCGACCTTGCCTCAGAGGAAAGTGAACAAGACGACTCTTGCCACTCGGCTGAATGTGGTGAACCCAGCAAAAGCCCAGCTCTCACTACATTTGAACCAGTACCCAGATGGGCAAGCACTGAAACTTGTCCGAAAAAGATACCTGCTAGTAAAGGTGACAAACAAAACTTGCTGACAGAGATGAAGGCCTGCTTTGCAGCTGACATCGTGCTGGTTCAAGAAGACATGGGAGTTATGACAGCTTCACTGCAGGCCCTGGAAGTTGAGGCTGATATCACCAGAAGCAAGCAGGACGATTTAAACAAAAGGTAGACAAATTGAAGCAAGCCAGCCTCACTATGGAGAGTAGGCTAGCTGTCCTGGAGACAAGTGAAATATATCTACAAGAAAACAAAATACAACTCATAGGGTAATACAATTTAAACACTGATATTACTTCCAGGGTTGGAAGAGGGCAGCAAAATAATAAAGGTGATAAATTATTATGTATTATTATTTTGCTGCCGTCTTCCAACCCTGGAACCTTTGGACTAGAGTATACTTTTGACAACACCACTCTGGACCAGCATGGAGGTCTACAGGACATATTGGTTGATAGGCATTTTTTTTTTTTAACTTTTATCTTGTGAGTGTAACCCAAATAAAGTCAGTTATCTTTTACCACAGTGCTGCATTATGTTTTGCTTTTGTTTCCTTTTACATGTGCCTACCTACAGCTGATATGGAACCAGCATTATATTGATGACCCTGAATTTTTGTTTTTTGTGAGTGAACTTCTAGTAATATCAGTGTTTATACTGTATTACCCTATGAGTTGTATTTTGTTTTCTTGTAGCCATATTTCAGTTGTTTTTAGTGTTTTGAGGATATAGAGGAATCCTTAATTATGTCTACATTTTAAGTGTAGGGGTAATTACCATTCATTTTGTACCTTTTGCACTGCATTTTTGAGGTGGTTATAGTGGTTTTATTTTACATTTTATAGCTGTCCTGGAGGACTCTGAGCATCAACGCAATCTGCGGGTCCGTGGTGTCCCTGGAGACATCATAGATAACAAGATGCCTCATTATCTACGAAAGTTACTGATCTCCATGCTGTCTCTAACCAAGGCCAAAGCTGTGCACTTTGACTACCATTATCAAGTCCCAAGGGACTTAGTGCTGTGTTTCCAGTTGCTTCAAAGTAAACAGATTAACCAGGCAACAACTAAAAATTCACCTACCAATTTGAAAGATCGGACATCTTCAATAACCTATCCAGATCTACTATAATTTGGAGAAAATCCCTGCGACTGGTGAGAAAATGGGAGAGTCAAGTCTCGCTGGGGACCAGGCCGAACATTAACAGGGATGCATGAAGAGAAACGTATCTTTAAGGCACTGGACATGCCTATCCCAATCAACATCATGACACCTATGCCGAACTCTTTCAATGCATCCTTTACTCCCATGTGGGCTGTAAATGCCATCCAGCCATTCTAGGTGCAATTTCCTCATAGTACCTGAATCTAGATAGAAGCAGTGGCATGCACCTGCCCAAGACTCCAAATATTGCCATATCTTTGATACTTAAGCTGTTTTTTTTACTTATACATGTTTATTAACTTGTGTTTAAGATCTGATTTGTTTTTTGTTGATTTGAGTCTAAAGATTTTATTTTTTTAAGTCTTAGTTTAGGCTGTATACCACTTGAATACTTAACGCAATGTACTCTGTCAAAATTCCCATACCCTCTCTCATGAAGCATTATTAGTTAACTGTATCCATCTATCTTATTTTAAAACGGTGATAGAAGCGTCAGCCACAGTTCAGTTAGACAAGAAACCTATGCTAAAATTGATGACAGGTGTATGTTGGAAATGTCTATATTTCACTAGATTGCACTTAAAATATAGCTTTCTATCTTTTTACTTGTGTATACTACAATAAAAATTATAAATAAAAAAAATAAAAAGTATATATTTGTAGAAAAAATGTTACTAACAGCATTGTAACAGTTTTAATTTAACCATTTTATCCCATATTTGGGTCAAATTCATATTTTTTTTGTTTTATTTTCTACACATTTGTATTATGAGGAAATTCACATACCACACTTGTGCCACTACTGCAAACAGCAATTTTTGTATCTGCTACTCTTCTTGAGTACAATGATACTCTACACGTATACCTTGCCTCTAATCCTACCCCTGTTATTGTCCTTAATCCAAAACCTAATCCAAACCTAATTCTAACCAATACTCCTATCCTTAATGAAACCAATAATCTACCCATAATTCAATCCATAATCTAACCCCTTTGCTACCAATAATCCAACCCTAATCCTACCTATAATCCCAATCCTAAACCCACCCTCTAATCTCACCCCTTAATCATAGCTCTTATTGCGATCTCTCTGTACTGTGTGATTGCAGCATGACCGGGAAATATCCCTCTCATGCTGCAACACATAGAGATCACTTCTGTTCAGCTAGGAGAGCCCTGCACAAATCCTGCAGAAAGGAGACCTCACCAGGATCTTTTCAAACCCATGGGATCTAGATGACATGGGGGAAAACACTATAAGGCTGGGGGGAGAACACTATAATTTTTGCATTTACAGCAGCTGAGGTATTTGATTTAGCCCCTACTGGTACCTTTACTGCATGGTGGTCTATGCAGTCACTGAGCATTAAAGCCTTGCACTGCATGACTGCATAGACTGTCATGTGGTTGTTAAGTGGTTAGAAATTAAAAGTGTGGAGAATCACACAATTTTTATTTTTCATGTATTTGTTCAGCCTTTATAAAAAAATATTTGGGAAATAAATGTTTTAAACAGTACATAGTGTTAAGTGTTGATACAAAAGCAAATATTGAATTTTCCAATATACAGTAGGCATGAGAAAGATGCATTTGATTGCTTATTGGTATTATTACTGTAATGGGACTCCTGTACTCCGGCTGAGTACCTCCGCCAGGTCAGCTTCCTCACTGCTATCAGGGCATGTTAAGCACTTCAGATCCAGTCATCAAAGCTTCCACCCTAGACCAGGGTGCTGTGGATATAGCACCTTGCGGTAGTTATAGCTCTCTACAGGTTATAGCTCTCTGCAGTGATTATAGCTCTGTAGACCCTTTCTTCTGTAAAGCAGTGATTATTAGACTGAATGTAGGGGAGTAGAATGTACACAACACAAGTATTTATGCTAGAAAAGGTGGATCCCAACACCAAGGGGTGCTTCATGTAATGCAATGCCATTACAATAGTCCCACCCTGGTGTCACTTGCAAAATGCCTAACTAACCAGATATACTCCCTGCTGTGCCTTCCCAAACATATAGGTAAAATTTACAAAATGTCCCCTATCCTGGCTTTGAGGCAGAAAAAGCATCCATACCCACTTCCCATAGTGATAATAGCCCTTTTTATCCATGTGGTAATGGGGATCTGTGACTGTTACGACCCTGCAGACGTTATCAGTACAGCCTACTAAAAGTGGCAACAGAATGTAAAAATTAATGCCTGCATTTAATAAAAAATGCCTACATTCAGTAAATGTAATTTAAAAATGTAGTTCTAAAATATAAGTATTGCCATATATCAATATCTGGAATGCTAACTGTGAAATAGTAAAGCCCTCCATTCAGGGGCGTACCTAGAGCATTTGGCACCCGGGGCGGACCCTGAGTGTGGCACACCCCCACACTCCCCATAATAAAAATGTAAGAAAACACCCACAATGTTTTCAATGTTTTCAATAATCTGTATATCAACTTGAAAAAAATGGAACTATGAAAAATAAATTAACTTTAGAAATAAATAAAATTTAAATAATTAACATTTACTTAACAGTTAATACGCTTTCTATAAACAAAAAAACACACAGATCCAAAGTGACCACTCAGTCTATTCGGCAGAGGTAATGTGCAATGATTCACATCCGCTGCCTTCGAGCCTTCATTTCTGCAAATTTATCAATTACTTAATCAAAGCCAATCTTCCTTGCATATTCATGCTCAATTGAAAGTATAGCCAGATTTGTCAACCTTGTCTCACTCATGGTTGAGAGAGAGAAATTTTTTATCAATTTTAATTTGGAAAAACTTTTCACATGAAGCAATAGACACACAGAGAGTCAAAAAGAATCTTAAACACAGTGACAAATATGGCAGAGATTCACAATAATCCCATTTAACAATGAACTGCAATGCCATCCATTTCTTTGCTTCTTCAACACTGATCTTGGCAGCTTCCAAATGCCTCCGAAGACGTTCAATTTCCCTAAAGATGTCTCCATTAGAGAATTCGTCAAAAATATCAGTCAATTTTGGAATATAATTATGAATATCTTTCTCTGTTGCCACAACCAGAGAGCTTGGCTGAATAACAGCAAACATTGAAATGATTTTTTCAATTGCCTGAGAACAAATTTCCAACGCGTGATGAAAACGATCAAGGCACTCAAACATAGCCCTTTTCATTTCCTCTGGCAATGTGAGACCAGCATCCTTTGCCTTCTCTCCTGGCATTGTTTTACGGAGCTTTACTCTCCCTCTTCTTTCCTTTGAAATGTCCATTTCTTTACACGTAGTAGTTGCATAACAAATGGCCTTCTCCACAATTTCACTGCGCTGATCTGCTAGAAACGCTTTCAAACCTTGTAGTTTCACAATGCACTTTTCAAGAGTGAGTCCCACAGTTTGCAAATATTTCTGTGTTATATTAACTTCTTCTAGAACTTCACACCAGAAAGAAAGGTAACACAAAAAAGAAAAATCACATACGGCAGACTGCAACATCTGAGCCGATCCTCTTGTGGCCACATTTTCTTTGGGATTACAGAATTTTTCAAGGGCTGAAGTCAGTTTTTCAAAATTTGCCCTCACTGGCTTCACAGCATCATAATGAGCGCTCCATCTTGTTTGGGAAAGTCTTTTCACTGTCACACCTACATTTTCCATCAGCAATTCCCAACGATGTGTAGAAACCGAAAAAAAGGAATACACTCTCTCCAATGTTCCAAAAAAGGTCACACAGGAAACAACACTTCCAAATGAGTGCAACCCAAATAGGTTCAGGGAATGGTTAGCACATGGCATAAACAAAGCCTTGGGATTAATCTCTTTTATTTTTGCCTGAACACCACCATGAATCCCTGCCATAGTTGCAGCATTATCATATCCTTGACCACGGCAAAGGCTTATGTGTAGTCCATCTTCCTCCAGATGTTGCAGGATATTTTCTGTGAGCTCAGCAGCAGTCTTTTCAGCAACAGGAAAGAACCCCAAGAATGATTCCTTTACTTCAACATGGTCCCCTTCAATATGAACATATCTGATCACTTCACACATCTGATCAGTGTGGGACACATCAGGGGTGCTGTCAAAAAGAATCCAAAAGTACTTTGCTTTCTTGAAATCAGCCACTATTTTGTCCTTCACATGATTTCCCAAAAGACAAATTAATTTGTTCTGAATTTTTGGAGAGAAATAGGAAGTCATTCTCTTTACAGATGCAACAGCATGTTTCAGCCTCATGAAATGTTCTTTTAAAATGGGATCATAGTTTGAGAGCAATTCTACCAATTCGAGGAAGTTGCCTTTGTTTGCGGATGACATGGTCTCTCTATGACCACGAAAGGGAAGATTCTGGTGAGCCAGAAACAAAGTTTACATCCAAAAGGCGATGCAAAATATCCCTCCATTTCCTTTTCCCTCTGTCCACTGTTGTTTGATGGACATGCAGCTTCCACCACAATTGAAACCAAGTAACAAAACTGGATGCCCCTGTTACTTTGTCATCAACAGCAAAAAGTCTGCAGAAAAAACAAAACAAACTTTGTTTTGATGGTAAGTACAACATCCACGTTCTAAGAATTTTTTCGCCATTAGGCAGAGCCTTATAGAACCATGCAGTGGTCAACTGTCGACTCTTCCCTTTTGATTTCTCGCCTTGCCTTTCAACAGGACTGAATGGCCCATCTCTATTTTGGAAAGGTTCACTTCCCCTCTTAATAAGGTCCACTCTTAAAACATCTGGAACTGGAACTGGCCAAACAGAAACATCAGAATAAACTGACAGTCGAACAGTCTCCTCTTCTTCTTCTTCATCATCATCATCAGAGTCTTGCTGATGCAGGCTTCTGCTGGCATCACCTTCATCTACATCACTTTCACCGCTTGAAGATAAAATGATCTTCTCCAATTCTTGCGCTTTTACATATGAAGCTTCTTGAGAAGATACTTCAGGCATTTCACCTCTGGATTCAACAGACTGAATGTCTTCAGCGCTTTCTCCTACTGCGGTAGATGTTGAAGGTGCAACATATTTTAAAATTGATCCAGACATCGCCTCAGCTGACTTTTCTTTTGCCTTCTTAATTTTTCGTTGCGGAGACCCGCTTGGTCGATTTCGCTTCATATTGGTGTTTTCTGCAGAAAAAGACTACATTTATTTTGGCTCTAGGGTTTGCAAGTGCGATATCTGTCTTATATTTCCCATCTTGGCATACCATTTGTAAAAGTAGACAACCCAGGGTATTTAAAGGGACACTATAGTCACCCAGACCACTTCAGCTCAATTAAGTGGTCTGGGTGCCAGCTCCCCCAGATTTTAACCCTCCAGATGCAAAAATCGCATCCAGCTTGCAGAACGTCCATAGGAAAGCATTGAGAAATGCTTTCCTATGGACTGTTTGAACGCGCGCTGCTCTTGCCACGCATGTGCATTCGGCTCCACTCGGGAGCTGATGTCGGCGGGGGAGGAATGTTCACCAGCGCCGAGGGAGCCCGGCACTGGATTAAGATAAATGGCTAAAGGGGTTTTAACACCTTTAAACCCATTCAGCCACTTACCTTTCTCCAGCGTCGGGCTCCCTCGGCGCTGGTGACCTCTCCTCCCCCTGCCGACGTCAGGTCCAAATGCGCATGCACGGCAAGAGCCGCGTGCGCATTCAAACTGCCCTTAGGAAAGCATTACTCAGTGCTTTCCTATGGACGTCCAGCGTCTTCTCACAGTGAGTTTTCAGTGAGAATTGCGGAAGCGCCTCTAGCGGCAGTCAGTGAGACAGCCACTAGAGGCTGGATTAACCCTCAGTGAAACATCTCTGAAACTGCTATGTTTTCAGCTGCAGGGTTAAAACTAGAGGGACCTGACACCCAGGCCACTTCATTGAGCTGATCCTTAGAAACAGCATAGGAAAAGGATTTGGGTTCAAAAGATGTAGCGGCTAGGGCAGAGGTTTTGTAGAAGAGGGCCAGGGCAGAGGTTTTGTATAAATGCTCCAGTTTTGTGGAAGGGGGAAGACCAGTGCTTTTGTAGAAAGGGGCAGGTGAGAAACTTCTAGAAAACTCCTGCTCTGCCCCTTCCTACAAAGCCCCTTGTCTCGCCCCTTCTAGAAAACCCCTGCCCTTCGGCCTTCATATAAAAACCCTGCACACTGATCACATAAATTTCCTACACTCCCTACACATAAAAACCCTGCACACCCCCTTAATTAAAAAAAACAAAAACACTGCACACCCCCTTAATAAAAAACAGAAACCATGCACAACCCCCTTAATATAAAACCCTGCATACCCCCTTAATAAAAAAAAACCTGCACACCCCCTTAATAAAAAAAACAAAAACTTGCACAACCCTCTTTGATAACAAAAAACCTGCACACACCCCTTAAAACCCTGCACACCCCCTTATTAAAAAAACAAAAACTTGCACAACCCCCTTAATTAATCCACCCCCTTATTCCACACCCCCTTAATTAATCCACACTCCTTAATTAATCCATACCCCTTATTTAATCCACACCCCCTTAATTAATCCACACTAATTAATCCACACCCCCTTAATTAATCCACCCCTTAATTGATGCACACACCTTAATTAATCCACACTAATTAATCCACACCCCCTTAATTAATCTACCCCCCATAATTAATCCACCCCCTTTAATCCACACTAATTAATAATTAATCCACCCCTTAATTGATGCACACACCCTTAATTAACCCACACTAATTAATCCACACCCCCTTAATTAATCCAACCCCCATAATTATTCCACCCCCATAATTAATCCACCCCCCATAATTAATCCACCCCCATAATTAATACACCCCCCTTAATTAATACACCCCCCATAGTTAATACACCCCCCAATTAATACACCCCCATAGCTAATACACCCCATAATTAATACACCCCCCTTAATTAAACCTCCCTTTAATTCTTTAATTATACACCCCCCTTTTAATTAATTTAATAACATCACATAAATTACATAAACACATAAATTAATAACATCACATAAATTACTACTCACGTTTTGATGATGCCTTCCCTCCGAGACCGACCACTGGATCCTTGCGTTGAAGATCCGTGAAGGCGGATTGACGGCGGCGCTGCGTACGGCGTCATCACTCCGCATCCCGCAAGACTCCTCCCCCTTCTCAGCCTCCGCAAAGGTGCTGCCGTTGCGGCTGTGCGCAGCGTAATGATTGGGGGGGTGACACATGACACTGGAAGTCATGGCACCCCCTTAGTCAGTGGCACCCGGGGCGGGCCGCCCCCCCCTTAGTACGCCACTGCCCCCGTTTCACTCCACCCTCCTCCATGAATGTAGAAATAATATGCCTTATATTACCTAATCTGTGAATAGAAAACAACATCTAGTGTGTCAAATAGTCTCTGGTAGCTTCACCAATAAACATAAAAAAATTTAATAGGGAGGAAAGGACAAAAAGTACTGCTGATAGTGTAGTTATGTTAAAAACTTCACAATATATATTAAAACTTTCACATAAAATGTTAAAAAATGTAAAAAGTTAAACGTAGACTATCACATTTTCACAATTGTTACAAGCATATCATATGTACAGTTCCTAATGACTTCTGATGTGTTTAGGCAGGGACTCCGCAACACCTCTAAATGTGTCCTGTGTTATCTGGCACCAGCACATTAGCATCAGATTATTTAAGTCCTGCAAGTTGTGAGGTGGATTCTCCATGGATGTGTTATTCCAGCACATCCAACAGATTCTCAGTTGGATTGAGATCTGAGGAATTTGGAGGCCAAGTCAACACCTTGATATCTTTGTCATGATCCTCAAACCATTCCTGAAGAATTTTCGCAGGGCAGCAGGGAGCATTATCCTGCTAAAAAATGCCACTGCCCTCAGGGAACACCAGTGCAATAAAGTTCTGTATGTGGTTTGGAACAATCTCTAGGTGGGTAGTAGATGTCAAAGTAACATCCACATAAATGTCAGGACCCAAGGTTTCCCAGCAGAACATTACCCAGAGCAACACAATGCGTTTGTCTGGCTGTCTTTTCACAAACTGTACCTGGGGAAGAGATGGCAACAGGATACTCTTCCCCAGGTAAATGATGCACATTCACCTGGCAATCCACTTGATCTAAAAGATAATGTGATTCATTACACCAGGCAAACTTCTTCCATTGTTCCATGGTCCTGTTCTAACACTCACATCCCCATTAGAGGTACTTTTGGTGGTTGACAGGGATCATAATGGACACTCTGACCAGATTGCCGATACGCAGCAAACCGCAATGCCCTGTGTGTTCTGACACACAAAATGATTGTGTTGAGACCAAACACGATAAAACTTTCCACAGTGCAAATACAAAAAATGACTGTTATGCTTCACCTGCATATCTCAAGTTGGAGTTTGAGAAGTTCTTCTTGGGCGAGAAATCTTTTTTCCACAACTATCCCAGAGTTCTTTGATTGGCATGCAAGCGTGTTTCAGCCTTCATACTACATTTCTGCAGCATGGTGCTGATACCATCTTTTAATCAATGTGGATAGTTTGTACTTCTGTGCTGAAACACTGTAGAAAAAAGTGTGAAATAAAAATTCAAGAATATACCATTACAAATTATTTTTGTATCTTTTATATTTTAATTTTCATCATTATCGTTGAGTTTACCTGTCACATATCCGGCCTCCACCTTCTTAAAATTCCATCATGTATGTCATATATTAAGCATCTCATGCATTGTACAGTTATTTGCGTGGTTCATTACTAGTTTTGACTAATCCCATATGGTAATTATATAATTAAATGTTAGTACAGACAATAACACATTCACTGAAAAATATGCATAATATAAATTGTAGGTGTGCTCCTGCTGTTAGGCAAAGTCTTTTTAGCACTCTTCTACTATTCTTGCATTCTGATTTAGATTCTAGCACATCCACACAGTACTGCATGAGCTAATATGCCATATGATCGTTTGCATTATCCCATTATACGTAACCTTGCCTGCCCTAAACTGTCATCACTTCTCTGTGATAATCTCATCTGATATTTGATTTGCTCAGTCCTGAGTTAAAGATTCGAGGTGGCCCTAGATTGCCCATAATGTTAAAGAAAAGCGAGCATTTTTATAAGACCAATAAAAATAATACCTTTTTTTGATGTCTGGTTTTAAGGTTGATATTTTATTTTTGGCTGACAAGCTTTCAATTCATTTTTAAACTATAGAGTATGTAAAGGTCTATTCTCTAAACTCTGGATCCTGTTTCACAAACTCTGGTAAGTGGTTTAAAATTAGCCATATCCATCTACTAGGCAGCATTTATTATTGGCATCAACGTCCAGATAACATGCTTCACTGAGTTCATGACACATTTGCATGTCCAGACCTCCAAACATTCACTTTGTACTATATGTAGAAAAAAACCTTCACCACAAGTAAATAATGTGAATGGTGTTAACAAAATTATACTTATCTCAAAAATGAATGGACAGCCTCCCTTAGATCACTTCCCGGATAGAAATCTTATGACAACCACTATATAAACAAAACAAATAGGATATGCCTGGTAAACCTAGAAGCATAAACAAAACATAGTGTAATACAATTAAGTAAAGATATGTGCGATGCAATCACAAGAAGATGGCATAAAATGTGCTCAAAGGGTGCCTCCCCCAATGGTAATGAGGGGCTATTAATCCCTCCCTTGATCTGTATTCACCACTGCAAATCAGGACTCTGGATGTTAGATTGATAGTAGCATCTTTTTATTGTAAATTAAATCAAGGTAAAATAACACTTAAAATGAAAGTGTTTTGTCCCTAAAAACAGGACTTCCTCAGGGATCATAAAGTTAGAGCAAATTACAGAATGATAATACCAAAAAAGAAGCCTAACAACCCCCACCTGCAAGTCCCTTTAAATAGGGCTAGTCCCTAAGCTCATTGGTGGTCCATTGGGCGTCTTCTTTTCTTTTCAATTGGTCCGGTCCATTACCTTGATCACCTGTTCTCCTCCTGTAATCGTCTCTCCTCTCCCGCAACTGGTGCTTATTCTCCTGTCGATGGCAAAAAAGGAAATGTGTTCCAATGTGCGCTTCCATGCGTTCCACTAATGGTTTCGGTATTTAGTAAGAATCAATATGGCCGTGCGTTTCACCCTGGGAAATAATATCTTTGCTTTTGCTTTTGGTGGTCGCCAAGAAAAATATATTGGAATTACTCATATGAATAGAAGGACAATTGTGGTTGAAAGTCAATGTCTGCTAAAAAAGAGCAACCAGGAAGTAACAGGATCAGTTGTCTGATAGACAGCTATGGATGCGTTACAAGGCTAATTTATAAAAGTGCCAATTTCTTTTGAATTCTGCACATATTGTAAAATGAAAAAAGAGGAAACTTTTCACAGCAAAAAAGTCCTTCAGCAAACTTAAGTGTTCTAGAGGTCTGGCGTGTCCCTCTAAGAAAGCAGGCCTTTTTTATTAAACTGTACCAATAGCCAGGGGCGTACCTAGAGCATTTGGCACCCGGGGCGGATCCTTTGCTTGGCACCACCCAAAAACTGTAAAACCTGTCAGCCCCTCCTACAAAACCCTTGTCCTGTCCCGCCCCTCCTACAAAACCTCTGTCCTGCCCCTTCTACAAATCCTGTACTGCCTCGTCTACAAACCCCCCGCAACCCCCTTCCACAAATCCCCTGCTTATCCCCCCTTATAAAGACTCCTATCCCAATACAAAACCCCCGCCCCCTTCTACAAAATCCCTGCAGCCCCACACACACATTTACAGGCAGACAGTCACACACTCAGTTACAGGCAGACAGTCACACATACACATTTCCTCCGTGCAGCCAGTTTATCAGCTGTTTGCTTGTGTGAGCTGTACTGGCCGCACGGCACCCTAACTATCATGGGACACTGTGCGGCCACAGCTCCCACAGCCCCCTCCAGCCAGGGCCGGTGCAAGGATTTTTGCCGCCCTAGGCAAAAGTAAAGTTTGCCGCCCCCCCCATGTGACATCACAACTCCCCACCCATATGATTTGCCATGTTAACTAACGCCAGTGCTGCAGTGCCGCCGTGTTTACATTAAAAGGCTTGCAGGGACAGGCTATAGACACCAGAACCACTACATTAAGCTGAAGTGGTTCTGGGGACTATAGTGTTTCTTTAATGTGAGGTAAATTAGAGCTTAGTGCCACAAATAATATACTAGATTGCCTACTTACAACCAGATGAGGATGATGATGGGCTCTAGCTGCCGTCTGGCTCCACTGGTCTGGTGCAGAACAGGCTCTCTGGAGGTGGTTTGTAACTGTGGTCACAAAAACCAATGTTCTGGGAGAACGGGAAGCAGCTCCATTTTTTGGGGGTCCTTTACACAGCTCAAGGTCTGGGTCCCAGGGTCCACCTTCATGTTCCACCAATGAGTTTGTTCACAGGGGGTGGAGTGTGTAGGGGATGTCCTGATATGTGTGTAAGGAATGCATTGTGTGAAATTGTGTTTGTATGTGTAAGGGCTGCAAGGTGTGTTTCTGTGTATGTATGGGATGCATTGAATGTGTGTAAGGGGTGCATTGAGTGTGTGTAATGAATGCATTGTGTGTTTCTGTGTGTGTAAGGGATGCATTGTGTGTAACGGTTGCATTGCTTGTGTATGTGTGTCTGTGTGTGTATGCATTGTGTGTTTTTCTGTGTGCAAGGGGTGCATTGTGTGTATGTGATGAATGTCAATCTCTCCTCCCGCTCCAATTTCCTTCTCCTCCTCCCAATTTCTCTTTCTCACCCCCCTCCTAATTTCTCTCCCCCCCTAATTTCTCTTTCCCCCTCCTAATATCTCTCCCCCCTCCTAATTTCAATTTCTCTCCCCCCCAATTTCTCTTTCCCCCCTCCTAATATCTCTCCCTCCCTCCTAATTTCTCTTCCCCCCTCCTAATTTCTCTCTCACCCCCCTCTCCTTTCTCTTTCTCTCCCCCTCCTTTCTCTTTCTCACCTCCTTTCTCACCCCCCCTTTCTCCTCTTTCTCACCCTCCCTCCTTTCTCACCCCCCTCTCCTTTCTCACCCCCCTCCTTTCTCCTCTTTCACCCCTTTCTCCTCTTCCTCACCCTCCTCCTTTCTCACCCCCTCCTTTCTCACCCCCCTCCTCCTCTTTCTCACTTTGCTTCTCCTTTTCACCCCCCCTCTCGCCTCTTTTCACCCCCCCCCTCCTTTTCACCCCCTTCTCCTCTTTCCACTTGCTTTTCTCCTCTTTCTCACCCCTCCCTCCTTTCTCACCCCCCTCCCTCCTCTTTCTCACCCCCCTTTCTCCTTTTCACCCCCCTCTCACCTCTTTTTCACCCCTTCTCCTCTTTCACCCCCCTTTCTCCTCTTTCTCACCCTCCTCATTTTCTCACCCCTCACTCTCCACCCTCCCTCCCTCTTTCTCACCCCTTTCTCATGCTTTTCACCCCCTCACCATCTCTTTTTCACCCCCTCCTTTTTTCACCCTTCTCCTCTTTCACCCCCTTTTCTCCTCTTTCTCACCCCCTCTCCTTCTCCCCCTCCCCCCCTGCAGCTGCTGTAGAGGCGTGGCCGGGCCACCTGTAGTCAGCGGGTACACTGAGTGTTCACTTCCTGTTAGTCGGCCGGGTGCAGACAGCTGCTCTCTGTACCCATGGGACCGGCTCTTTCCCCAGTGAGGAGTGACAGGAGAGTGCTGGCCCTCCTGTCAGCCTCTCCTCAGGCTGCGCCCGGGCGGTGCGGTCCGCCCTCATGGACGCACCGCCCGGGCAAAGCTGCAGCCGCCTGAGGCTCTCTACAGAGCGCTCGGGCGGCTGCAGCATGGGGGGGGGCGGCGGGGCTGGTCATGGCACCCCCCACCCTGGTGGCACCCGGGGCGGACCGCCCCCTCCGCCCCCCCCCCCTTAGTACGCCACTGCCAATAGCTAACCTTACTCTTCACATGATACAGTGCACTCTTTGTAATTTTATGTGGGTTTGTAAAAAAGCCAGAGTATCCAAAACCCCGCTTTAGACAAGAACGTGCAGAAGAAAGAAAGTTCCATGATTATGAAATTATTGATTCTAACCTAAATGATTAAAACTCAGTCTCTTTGAGGTAATGTTCAGTATCTCCTGGTTGTTGAGCTCAGTGAAGCTAAATCTAAGAGGAAGGCAATTGCCCAGATCACCTACCTTGCAAAGACTTTACACTGAGGTGAAACAGCTGAGAAGTCTGTAAATTGACAGCCACAGAAAGTCCGTACTGGCAAAGAATGGGAGCTTGTAATGTCTATAGATACTAGATTTGCATCTATATAAGCAAGGATTTTATATAACCCCAAATAGAATGCAAAACAAATTAAATGCATATTTTATTTGGGGGCATATCTACTAAATTTTTTAATGGTGTGATACTTTAAACTACTGCCTGCACAGTGATTTAAAGCACGTAATGCCTTACAAGTTATGACAAAATATTTCATTGATGTTTAACAACAGAACAAACTATTGTATATCGGGGTACTCCAAACTCAGGGTCGCCAAGTGTTACTGTACTATAGCTACCATGATTCTTTGGCTATTTAACTCAAAGATTCCTGGGAATTGTAGTTCAGCAACATCTGGAGGGCTGGAGTTTGGTTCGCCACGAACTCATCATTGAGTAAACTTTGACCCTGTACCTCACAGTCAGCAGACACATTCCAGCCAATCAGCAGCAGACCCTCCCTCCTAGACCCTCCCACCTCCTGGACAGCTCACTAAGAATGCAGCTTCAAAATGGATGCTGTCCAGGAGGTGGGAGGGTCTGGGAGGTAGGGTCTGCTGCTGATTGGTTGGAATGTGTCTGGTGACTGTGAGGTACAGGGTCAATGTTTACTCCATGATGAGTCCATGGCGAACCATTCGCGAACCGTTCGGCGAACCGTTCGGGACATCACTATTAAATTATAAAAAAATATATATTTATATATATATATATATATATAAATATATAGCTATATATATATATATATATATATATATATATATATTTATATATATATATATATATATATATATATATATATATAAATATTACAAAATGTTCTTTTTTTCTTTTCATAATATTAAATCTTTTTAAATATGCTTGTATTTTGATCATATTAATTTGATACTTGTATAAATAATGTGTACTTTATACTTGGTCCAAACACCTCAATGAAACAAAGATTTAGAAAGAAAAATATTAAATCTTTTGAAAAGCTTATAAAAAAATTAAATTCAGGCCATAGTTGCCTAAACAGAGAAAGAATGTCACACATCTGGTGGTTGTACCTCAATCTAACCCCCATGTGGTTCTTTTTCTCCACTTCCTTATCAAATGTGCTAAAAATAATATTAACTCTTAACCTGCCAAAAAGTATTAACTTCAAACACAAAAGTAGAATATTTATGCTCAACCACATTTTGATGATACCACTGCCGAAATAGCTGGAAATCATCTCTTGTCTAACACAAACTTTTCAGTAGACTTGTGCACAGTGAAAATATGTTTCGCCTGAAATTTGTTTTGGGTGATACTAAAACAAATGTGCAGTTTATAAGAAGTTTAGGTTCGGATATATCTTATTGACAAACACTAATGGCATGAAAAATTAGCCAATCAATTTACTGCAAAACATAAATAGAGGGGAAAGAGGAGTAAAAAATATAATGTTGCATATGTATTAAAATTATATAATTTTGCATATGTATTAATTTTAATACATATGCAAAATTATATTTTTTACTCCTCTTTCCCCTCTATTTATGTTTTGCATGTATATATGTATATAAAAGCATATAAATGTATACATAAAGATTAATCTAACCATCAATCATCATATTCTATCAATTATCTTTTTTTGGGGGGGAGGGATGGGCAATTCCATGGATAGAATTCTTAAAAACAAATTAAATGGTTTTGCCCATTATGCTCTTGTGTCATGGTTTGTTTATAAAGTGTTTTGGAGTTGTGGATAAATCACTTATTGCCCAAAAATAGAAAGACTCAAAATTGTTTTGAAACTGAATGCACAAGTCTACTGTAATAAAAATAATAATAATAATAATAATAATAATAATGGGCATAGTAGTTGAACGAGTGACGTTGACTTCTAAAGATACCAAAGACAATATAAAAGTGTCATTTTTTCTTTTTTCTCTCTTTTTCTCTCCTTGGTTAGGTTTTACATTACTGCACATTGGCTTTACATTTGTGTACATTGTAACTTTGTCTACACTACATTACAAATTAATCCAGTATACAATTTCTGAAAAAATAAAGAAAGCATGATTATAATTTACATTTATATTTCTGTTGTGTTTTTATAGTTATTTATGTTTTAGGTTTATCTTAAATGTGTTCAACGTTAATCCACTACACCACAATTTGATCAGGTCAATTACCCTAAAAAATTTGCAGTCTTGAGAGCATGTTGGTACAGAGTTATAATTTAAGATATTATATTTAGATCCAAAGTATATGCTACCTTTTTGCATGACTTTGCAAGCATTATAGGCCAGTAATATCATATATATCTTTAAAACTACACACTTACATTTCATTGTTTAATTTTATTGTATAGTGTATTAAGAGTTATTCTTTAAGGAGTTACATCAAAGATAACTCTGGAAACCTATGGGTGTCTTAAAAGCTGTTTCATTTTGCATTGTTGTAAACGTGATGATTAGTGCTGAAACCGAACAGCTTTATGGCTTAATTCATAGCGTGTAAATCCTTATTAACATGCTTTGTTTTTTGCCAGGACAAGTGTCAAGCAACAGGGAGTCGGATTAACAGTTCCTACAAATGTTAAGCTATTTTATCTCCTAGAACCTTTCACGTGTCATTGCATATTCCTGTTGAAGGTTTATGAAAGGCACACACCAAGCACCATAACCACTACAATGTAGTATAGTGGTTATGATGCAAGGAAGCTATGAGTGCAGCACCTTTGTTTTTTGTCAGACTGCATTTATAAGCTCCTACTATTTTTCCTTAATTGCTTAAATTGGCTTACATTCAATTAAGGGGGGGTATATTGTTATTACAATATTCCTAAAAAATTAAAATAGCTAAATATGTAGTATGTCAAAACTTTAAAGTAGTGTATGTATACATATAAACCACACTACCATGGTACAGAGCCCTACAAAGATCATCTCAAATCTTGTTGGCAGGGGAATATTAGGTAATACCAGAACCTCTTCTTTAATATTGCTTCAAAAGGCTCTCTAAAAGAAAGAAGAAATGACAAGAAAAAGAAGCAAATGCTCCTAGTGTGATACTATAAATATGAGGTGCAAATCTTAAGTGCAAGTGACTGCTTACCTTTCTGAGGGCCAATTATACTAGGCTCTCGGTATAATGGTGTGTGTGCCTTTAAGATCACAACTCTTCTTTACAGTAGAAGCAGGAATTCAAGATTTTCCTAGTCTTAACATCAGAAAATATAGATTTTATTAAAGACATTAAGCGAGTATTATGCATTAAAGGAACACTATAGGGTCAGGAACACAAACTTGTATTCCTGACCCTAAAGTGTTAAAATCCCCATCTAGCCCCTCTGGGCCCCTCATGTCTCCATAAATATAGAAAAATCTTACTTGTATTCAAGCCTAAACCTGTAGCTGTGAATGCTGTTTGCCTCAGAAAAAAAGCTGCCTGCTGACATCATCGGGATTGGCCGAGACGGACAAGGAAGCAGATCAGGGGCAGAGCCAGCACAATTCAAACACAGCCTTGGCCAATCAGCATCTCCTCATAGAGATGAATTGAATCAATGAATCTCTATGAGAAAAGTTCAGTGTCTGCATGCAGAGGGAGCAGACACTGATTGTTTGTATGCATTTTAGGCAGCCATGACCCAGGAAGGATATCTAGCAGCTTTCTGAAGAGTGGCCAGTGAAGTTATCACTAGGCTGTAATGTAAACACTGCATTTTCTCTGAAAAGACAGTGTTTACAGCAAAAAGCTTGAAGGTAATAATTCTACTCACCAGAACAAATTCAATAAGCTGTAGTTGTTCTGGTGACTATAGTGTCCCTTTAACTTTAACTTTCTTTACTAAACTCCACCAGCAAAAAATATTTCAATAAAGTTTAGTGAGACAATATAAGAAAACAGTCAAATAACTGCAATGGAATATCCAATAGCCAATCAGCATTCGGCATAGGCTATATATAGGCAATGACCCCCAGCCCTCTTCCTCTTTTGAGCTGTGGCTTTAGATAAGTAATCCAAACAAATAAATTCCTAGAAAACTGGAAAAAACTCCAAACTGGTTCAAGCTGAAATACAAATAAGAGGTTGGGTTAATGGGAGGGATAATAGTTGCCTCTTGTCTTTAACAGAATCTATATTTTCTGATGTTAAGACTGGAGGCTCATATTATGCATGTTAAAATCTAAAATAATAACATATAATATGTATCTAAACAAATTACAGAATTTCTTTTGAAACATGCATGTTAGGTCTAAAGTAAAACTTTTTAAATGTAGATTCCAAAATGTAGACAAAGTAAAACGGTAAGTTTAAATGACAGGAATTTTAAAGATAATGAGTCATTATCACCCCAAGATTCTTATAACTGGAGAACCAGGTTAACATCATCCCATGTAGAATTATATCTAGGGCAAGAAGGGCATTTGAATCTAATGCCCTTCATAAGTCTACAGACTAATGGGTGTTTGCCTACTGGAAAGGATTCAATCAGATTATGGTTCGCTGAGAAAGCTGAACGATAAAAATTAATGGTGTGGTATGCTTTCTGTGAGACAAAAGTGGAAGACAAAAAATTAAGTGCATTTGCTAAATCAGAATGTATGGGATCCACAGCCTGTTTCATGCACCAATTAAGCCAAATTTTCCAGGCTGATCCATAACTTGCACAGGTACCTTGAGCCCATGCTTCTGAGAGCATGTTTCTAGTTGAATCTGAAAATTATCTTTTAGAGTTGTGTGACCTGAGAGAAGTGATGCCATTAGTAGTAATTAAAAAAACATGAAATCTGACATCCAAATCAGAAAACAGGGCGCCACAGTCACTTAGAATAAATAAAACTGAAATAGGAGATTAAAGAACAATAGGTAGATGGAGCCAAATTAGATACACAGTATAGGTGGGGGGTAACCCCTAGTGGAAAATGAGAAAAACAGAAGAGGGTGTATCTAGTAAATGATGCCAAATATAAGCATCAATAAAAAAATTCCAAGATAGCCAACAAATAGCCTACTGTATAGGCCAGACAAAAACACTGGAATAAAAGAACAAAAATAATAAAGATTTATCAAATAAACAAAAATGTAACCCAAATGAGTGCTACCAAATAAACACAGAAAAATAAATAATGATAATAAAATCTAGAATGATAACAAGACAAATCTGTAAATATAAATACAGATTGTCTGAATATAGTAGAGATAAAATATAATTGCAGACCAGAAATAGGAGATTACCAGAGATAGGGAAAAAAAAAAGAAACAATCAGTGGAAATACAAAAGTCCACTTTATTGACAAACAATAGCACACAATAGTGCAAAATCACAAAGTATATAAAATTAAATACATAAAAGACAAAAAATTGGTCCAGAGCCCCTAAGGACAGCAGCTTCAATCATACAAGTGATGATGGTATTAGTGCAAGAGCTAAAGTGCAGAGGTGCAAAGAACCAGAACACTCCTCCACAGTCTAGCGGCAACACAATGTACAAATCATGCTCTATAATATAGAATAAAAATAATACACAAGTAGAAACAGAAGATTGCTATACCGAAATCGCAGGGCTCTGTTAAATGCTCAACGCGTTTCGTCAATGTCGACTTCTTCAGGAGCTTCTGAATCCTTCCTGGTTCTTGCTTCTTTTAAATCCGCCGGTCCGGGCATCCGGCGCGCCATCATACTAATGACGTGCGACCGGCCGGTGTGCGCATGCGCAACCAAGCTGGAATGCAAATTAACTTTATGTGTATTGTACTCAGCCGCAAAACGGGCAAAACTCCACTTGGAGCGCTCGATATTCATGCGGTCTGCATTCTAAAAAAGTATAACTAACCTCATAAATGAGATACAAATTGGACCAGGAAGGAAAAAGTGTGTTAAAAATTGGATGTACAAAACATGTATATAATAATAATAATAATAATAATAATAATATAATAAAAAAGTGTAATAAAAAAAGATGAAGAAACCAAAAAAAAAAAAAATGGGGGGGGAAAAGAGAAAATAAACTTTGTAGAGATAAGGATGATTATAAGAGTGGCATACAAAGAGAATGGAGAAATAAAAAATATAGGGGTCCCCATGGTAGAAATACAAGGGAGAATAAACCTCATCAGTATAATCAAGGAGTTAGGAAAAGATATGAGACTGATACCACCTATAAAGGACCCAAAATGGTCAGGAATAGATAAGGAATAAATAACACTCCTAAATGACCCAAAGCTGTTACAAATAAAAATAGTGAAGATGCAGACAGGGTGGTAAGAAGAAAAGAGACACAAGCAAATATAACCAGTAGAAAAAGGGATGTCTAGTCAGCAGGAAGTTTTTTTAGAGAATCAGCCAAGTTTTTTTAGGAACCAGAATGTCTGGATACACAGGAACAAATTTTCCCCTCTTCAGACCATCCAGACACCTCCAAAGAAGAGGAAGTTATTGGGAGCCACTGGAGGACTAGGGGAATTAGAGGAGGGAGAAAAGTCAGACTGAATAATACAAATAATAGTGAGGGTATCTTGAACCTATCTAAAGAGTTTTGAAGTCCTGAACA